CCTCGTTCTTTTTTATTCGTATTTCCGCGGCTTTTACGTTCATCCGCGCTCCGTCTATCCATCGGTTCCTAACAAAAAAAAGATAAAAACTGTTTTTCTCTCGAAAATTTCTCTCGTTTTCACTCGCTTTATCGTATTATTTTTAAACAGTCGCTCGCTCACCCGAGTCTTCCCGACCGTAAATTATCCACCAATCGAGTGGAGACCGTTATAAGATCGATATCGAGACGAACCGATGCCGGAAACAGGGCCGATTTACTTTTCCAATTTTCGCCGGAGGGAAAAAAAGAAAAATAATAACGTAATAATATTTATTCGATCGTCCGTACGTCGTGATGTTTGTAAATTTCTTGCTTCGTAAGACTGTGTACATATATATGTTATATATATATATATATACATATATATATATATATATAAAACGCGATCTGAACGCATGTTAATTATGGATTGTAAACAACAGATTTACAAGATCGCAAATTTGTATGGCAAATTACTTCGTAGAGCAAACTAATCGGCGCGTCTTTAAATAAACCGCTTCGAATAAAGACGGAGCCGAGCGGAAACGCGATAAAAAAAGGGCCGCGTGCACCTTTCTATCCATTCGTAAAGCGTTTCCCCCTCTACTACTTCTAATCTTCTTCGTTTTGTACGAACACTTTTCCAATCACGTTATCACTAAGTAGTTCAAATCCGCTATCATATGTTCTTTACACACGTGTATATATATATATATATACGTATGTATATATATATATACATATATAAACATATCTCGTAAAAAAAAAAAGAAAAAGATAAAAAAACACGAAGGAAAAAAGAGAGTTTCGTTGGAATTAAGAAACAAGAAATCTTTATATTGCGATTCGTCGCGACTATTGACTTATAAATTATCATATCTAATCGAGCTGCGAAGTGGGAAACGCTAATTTCCTTAGAGACGAACTCGAACTGCGGCCCAACACGATACAATTATCGCTTTTAATTATTACACCATCCGCCCCCCCATCGATTGGATTCCGCAATTGTGTCCGCGTACGTGGCATCGATCGCGAGTGATCGTTTTAAACGTTTCGCGAGTCGGTGCACGTGCTTCCTCGCGCGAATGCAAGCGCGATCGCATTTGTGCCATCGTTAGTTAGAGACGCGTTTTCGTTCATGTTCGTCTATACATATATATATATATATATGTATGTATACATACACATAAACACAGACACACATACACACACACCTGTATACTTGAGAGAAAGAGAGACTGGACAGACGAGTATGTGTGTGTGAGAGAGAGAGAGAGAAAGAGAGGAGAGAATGCATTAGGGAGATATGCAAAATACACGCATACCTTATAGCCTTCGTTCTTCCGCACCGATTTGATTTCTTCTTGCGAATCCAATCGCACGTCTCCTTCTTCCCTGCGATCGCGTAACGAGTTATTTACATAAGTCGGAGTAAAGGTACATATTTTCTATCCGTTTAATACCGAAAGAAATTCTTCTTTCTTTCGAGGAGAAATCCGAATTTAAAATCTTTGTTCAGGATCGATAGAATTGATTTTCCTTTTTTTTTTTTTTTCCTCTCTCTTTTGAATTGTGTAAAAGAGGATCGAACGATTAGATAATCGAATCGATCAGATCACGCAGGGATACGATACGTAGAAATCCACGAAACTCTAAAGGATCACTTTATCTTATATCTAGGCATCTAAGGACTACGTGTCTAAGTATGTATGTATCTGTAAGTTGTGTGTTAGCATGTCAAGCGTGGGATATAGTGATGTAATGCCGTTGAACAGAATGAGAAAAGAGAAATGGCGCTCGAGTCGGCGTCTAGAGCGTCGAGGCGCTTAATCAACGTGTGGGCCATGCATGCGTGTTAACCCTTTGCGTCGAAATTAGTCGATAAGTGAGATTAATCTTTTATTTAAATCGCACCTTTAGATGTTAAATTCGAATTTAAATTTACATTCCTTTATCTTCAAACAATTCGACAATTTCGAATTGAGAATCCTTTGGATTCTCATGAGGAGGATATATAGCAAAGGGTTAAAGGATGCTGCAGACAACGTAACGATACCCCGCCGAAAAAAATCTAGTCTTATAGCGTAACTAATGCATTAATTATTAAATATTAATAATAAACGCGAAAGATTGGCGATCTACATTGCCTTTCGCCCGACTACTACACGTATCCTCGAATCGTCTGGCGGGGTGAAGTGGTGGCGCCGTATTCGCAGCTCTGCCCGTGGCCATTCTTTCCCTTTTCCCTCGAGGAGCATCTAGAAGACGACTCCTCGCCCATCCGAGATGGCGGGACGTTAAACGAATCAATCATATCGAGTACCGTGAGTGAGAGACGCGCTAATTACTCCTTAATTAATCATACGCCAGGGAATCCCGTCCTCGTCGGGCGGAGTCGAAAAGTAGGACGGGGAATCCCACGCAGAGCCGGAAATAAATAGTATTTACGATAGAAAATAGTGGAGGAGCTTGCGGAGCTTGTTTCGCGCGAAACGAACGCTGTTTAATGTTCGCTTATCGCGATGTTAAAAAAGAGAAAGAAAGAGAGAAAGAAAATAAGCGAAACCGCCCCCGATTCGCCATTACACTATCAACGTACAAACGATCTTACAGTTACTATTTTTTACTTAGAATACTATTTCCTCCAGCTCTGGCTACGGCCAAAACATTGTATATACACGCGCAACTCCTTATTTTTCTCGTTGAAAAATCGCAAAAAAGAAAAAAAAGAAGAAGAAAGAAAGAAAAAAAGAAAGAAAGAAAGAAAGAAAAATAATAATAATAATAATAATAATAATAAAATTAAGAGATACGACGACGTTCCTTGGTTCGCTTTCTACAGCTTTATCCGTTTCGTTCGTTCGATCATTTTTTTGGAATGCCTCTCGCGATCGTTTCAATCATGATCGTGAATTGGTGGATATCAAATTATATGAAAGCATGATGATGCATTTTGCAATTTATAGCGCCGAATTTTATAATAATAATACTCTCTCGAGGAGTTTTGTTTAAAACAAAATTCGCTGATCCTCGAGACGAAAGCAATCGCAGGGGATTGCCCTGTTTAAATCGAAACTGCCGGTCTCTCTTTTCTCCTTTTTTTATTTTTGATAAGTTCCCATCGATCAGGGAGGATTATATTATAAATATATAA